TTTTATGAATTTTTCTCGACTGCCATTTTTTCATTTCTTTTTCCTATTAATTTAGGTTTATAGAGTAGTTCGAGTTTGAGTTTGCGTTTTTGTCAATTTTGTAAATTTAGCTTTCGGTTTTGTAAATATTAGTTGAAAAAGTTATTGATTTGTTAAAGTTTGATTTCATCATCGTTAAGCTGTTACAATTTTTAAATTTTCAGCGGTTTCTGATTTGTCATAAACGTTAATAATAATAGCTGTACTAAGTCGATGTTAATTTCATTGCTACTCAATATCTAATTTTTAATTATTTTAATATAAAAGTAACAAATCTATTTATTTTGTTTCGATAAGTGTACTGGTATTTGGGTATTTTTCAGCTTAGTTGTCTCTACCTAATTTTGGTGACAATTTTTATTAATATTATAGTATTCGAGTATACTACCGTGGAATATTAAATAATAATTCAAGATAACTACACTCGAATATTAAATAATACTCCAATATAATATTTTAGAATGTTGAAATAATCAAAACTGCCACCGAAATTAGGTAGAGAAAATTAACCTGTTAATGACCCATTTATGACAATTAAGTACAAAACTTTATTTTCAATTCGTAATGTCTGACGCCAAAGTCATTAACAATGTCAGACATTGAATAACAAAGTTTCGTATTTAAGTTTCATAAATGACGACAGTCATTAATAGGATAACTTACATACGCGGCGACAGCTTTCGGGAAGGTTCGTGGTTTTCGAGTTCTCCCGAAAGTAGTCTATAAATCAACCATATATAGAAAGATGTTCATGTTTTACTTTCTTATGACAAAAATGTTAGAATCAGCTAGCGAGGAGAGGAACTCTCGATCTGAAACATATATCGCACACTTGGTGTAATAAAGCCACATCTGCGAAATTACAACTTTTCAGGGAGGCTTAAAGTTTCTATTGAACGAAATAAGTTGGTAACTTTTTATGCTTAAATTATTAGAGTTATTAAATTTCACATATACATACTTTGTTTCATGCAGTTCGTATTATTTTTATGACTGTCATTTGATAAAAGTACTTTTGATGTATGATCACATGTGGCATTATTATAGCAAAGATACGATTACGATTTTTTTTATACAAAATTAAACTTTACGTCATTCACTTTGGTTTGAAATATGACAGTCTAAATGACATTATTTCCATTCATCTATCCAGCATACACTTAATTCAGGCTAGGACTAAATTCGGTACACCTATAAATACCTACCTATTTGTAAATCTACGAAACACGTATGAAAAACCATTTTACAAATTTAATTATTTAATCAAAGCTAATCGGGGCTACATAGAACCCATAGGCACATCATATGGAATGATTAGTATGTTTAGTTTTCTAACAATTGGCTCATTGGACTTTCGAAGTAAAGATGACTTTTCTTTTTATGAAGAACGCGCTCATCAAAGGCGATGTACTGTTTATTTGCAGTTATACTGCAGGGTGCCAAATGTGTGACGCCCATTACTTTGTATTATACTATAAAATGAGACATATAGACAGTGAAAGGAAATATGTCAGTGTAATGTTTAACACTACTAATACATACATCGTCCCGACTCCTCTCACGCAGTGGTCTAACTGTTGAAATCAATGTTAACATTGGCAGGAGTATATTTTAATTTTCCATGTATTCAAGAGGTAAAGTTTTGAGGTAGATTTCATTTTACATATTACTCAAGACCCAATGTTGCCAACTTTACAAAACAAACATTCATAATGAAATTTATCTTACGTCACATTTGCCCCGCTCTTCATTTGATTATCGTCCTCAGTAACCATCTCTAATTGTCACCTACTAGTGTATTTACATCATCAGCCATTGTGCAGACACAACAAGTCACATCGATCCATCTGGACTATACTTGTGTGTTGTAAATTACGTGCGTTTTTGTGCACGTTTTGTTAGATTGCCTAACGACGTCAAAACGCAAAATATTATGTAATTGAAACAGCATGTAATACGCACAATATCTTTGTATGGTTACTTATTTTGAGTATACTTTTTTCTGTAGCAATTTACAAACAGTGATTTAATTTAAGTCTTCGTCATCACTGTGACGTGTGAGATAACGGTTTCTACCTTCATATTGGGTAAATCTTACGTAACGTACAACATACAAGTTAATACTAATACAATGAAAAAAAAGTAAATATTTTAAACTTATGGACGTGGCCATGTGGCTATAAAGAAACTAATACATAAGGACTAGTTGGCAGCATCTGTACATAATAAGGAAATTATTCACAAGAACTCAGATCAGAAATATTTATTGTTGAACTTTTTGTGATTTGAAGACTTTAATATCTGTTGCAATTGATGTTCTGTCAGCGAAACCTAGGTTATTTTGAAACTAATTGATTTTGTCTATATACTCTAACGAAATATTTTAAATATACAAAATATATTATTCCTCCTAGCATGCATCCACTGGATGCCAATAAACAATAACGTGTCAACCAACATGATCATAGTTTTGCAAAAATGACATCTAAAAATTTGTCGTTCTTTTTAATATTTACTTGTAAAATGAAAATTGCTGTTGTGTTTGTTGTTGTTCTTGGGAAATTATAGTAATAATCAGGACAATTCATCATTCCTGTGGTTACAACAGCAAATGTTTTCATTTTACAAGTAAATTTTTGAACAAACTATAAAAACACAAAAAAAAAATTTTTGGTGCCATTTTGGCAAAACTATGATCATGTTGATTGACACGATATTGCTCATCAGCATCTAACTGTGCTATCATATTAAATGTAATCGTTTAATTAGTCATTTCAATTTTATCCGAGTATAGTTCCGTGTCAAAACTTTGTTCCTCTATTAAGCTTCGTGTTACGTGACAACTTTTGTAATTAAATGAAGATTGTTTCTTTGTTATTATTATTGACATAAAGATCGAACAAACACAAAGAAAAATTCTTTCGACCCGACCGCTACCGTTACGTGGCTATCGCTCTGCCAATGGGTCGAGCCAGCAGATCTTACGAATCTCTCTATGTGCTTGTTGCGGATCTTTATATTGGATTTAAACTTTTTTACCGTGTCTTACAGATCTATGAGTATTTTCAGAAAAAATAGATGAATATCATGGTGGTAAAATAAAAATATAAATAAAAAATAAAAATTAATTGATATCTCTATTTGGTTTAACAATGGTAGCTCAGGTTATCCCATTAATTACTTGTGTTGGGAAAGCCTTGCAACTTCCCTAAACTTAAAATTTATAACAAATCAGGGGGGTAGTTAAATAAGATAATGATAAAACAAAAAACTAACAACAAATGTAATGTGTACTTAAAATAACATGACATTCAATAAAAATAAAATATTGTTTCTTTGTTATTGTACAATATTTTGCATGTTGCCTACACATAATGTAGCTCAACAGGACATAATTTGAGAATCTTTTCTTGAGTATTTTTTTAACACTTCAATACAGAGGATATCTGCGTACCGAAAAATGTATATATCCATATTTCCGAAGTATTTAAGTCTTCAAGTTTCACAAAATTTCAATTGAAATAAGGCATTTTAAATTGAACTTAATATAACATGTATAATTTTGAGTTTATTTTTCTGTAGCTAATTTCGGTGGCAATTTTTATTATTTTATTTAAGTATTCAAGTAAATTATCGTGAAATAACAAATAATATTACAGGATACTACCCTCGAATATTAAATAATACTTCATGATAATATTCTAGAATAATTAAATAATAGAAATTACCGAAATTAGGTAGAGAAAAGTGACCTCAAAATTACCCATTCACATTTGTAACTAACTCTCAGAATTAACTACAATCAATTGTACGCTTTGTCTTGTAAACTGGTAAGTTAAGAAAGATATTAGGTACATCATTTGCGTTCGCTTTGAAGAATCATTTCGAGACTTGTCACCGTCAAAAATTGACAACAGACGTTAATTAACTTTTGCAAATGTTACTTTCTTGGCTTTCACGTATTCATTACGGTCTTAATGTTAAGAATAAAGTGAAGTAATTTTTACTTTTACTTTTACTGTTCTATATTTTTTAATTTTAATATTATTTAAAAAGCGGGTTCAGTTTCGACTTTAGCAGAACGTGACCGGTAGTATGGCTACTGTCACGTGTAATGTGACCCCTTTATTTGATATTAAAAACAAAGGCAGGGCAGCTCAACAATATTATAAAAAAATGGACTTTTTTGAATTTCACGATTTTTACGAACACAAAGAAAAATTTGAAACTTTTGGACGTTGAAAGCTCGAAAAGCCCAGTACAAAGATCTATAACAGACTCAAGAAGAATTTCGTCGTCCTGCTTACTCGACTTGCAGCTCAGTTGGCAGAGTCACGCTACGGTACAGCGTGGATACAGGTTCAAATCCTGTCGGGTCGAAGGAATTTTGCTTTGTGAACACAAAGCAGGATCGAAAGATCTTTGTATTAATAATAATAATAAAAAAATATTTTTTCAAGATGACAAGTCCCAATGAATAACTTTACGAACGATAAAAACTCAAGATTGATTTTAGTTCTGAGTCCTTTCTTTCACATTCTCAATCCTTTTTGTTTTTTTTTGTATTCTTTTTAACAATGCAAGCAAAGTTAGAAAGGAAATTACCTAAACTATATACTTTGAGCAATACAATTTGTCTTGTGCTATGCTGTAGTCTTTTATTTTTATTATTATTTTTTAAATGTAAATATGACTATAATTTGAAAAAAAATAAAAAACAATTGTAAAATGTCTATACAAATAATAAATTGGAGGCTGTTTTCAATGAACATTGAATTAAATTTTATGTAAAATACCAAAACTTTAAAAAAGTAAAAAGCAACTTACCAAGCATCTTGTGTACAACTAACAAAACACTACTAGCTCGTAACACTGCATTTAAACCGACCAATCACAGCAATTTCTTTTTTTTCTTGCCCAGTATCCGGCCAATAACAAGCAAACAGTTTTCATATATCATCTACTTTCGTTCATAGTAAAATTTTAGTCGCTAGTACAATGCAGGTACTCGTACTCAAGGCCCAGACTGACGGCGACAAAAACAAAGTACAGAAGGAACATGGTGAAGCCCAGGCCTTTGTTCATTTTCCACCTAAAGCAGGCTATACTGATTATGACGAAGATAAGCATGGCGAATAGCAGTACGATGCTGCAAACCATCCCCTTGGAGTTAACTTGTACAGGCTCGCCGTAAATAATTCCGTACAGGAGCCAAGGAAGTGGTAACCTGAAACAGATTAAAATTAATTTTATTGTTATTGCAATGGTACAAATTAATACTATGTAACAAATTTTCAAAAAGATTCTGTTTCTGGTTTGACAGTATTGCTTTCTGTTTAATTGAGCAGCAAGTATGTAGAAAAGAGTAGCTATAACCCTGAAATTTTGCTTTTATGGTTCTCATGGTGGTATTTATGTACAATATATTTATTTACATAATCACATTTCTAGATTCTTTGTCATCAACATCATTTCAGCAAAAAGATGTCCACTGCTGAACTTAGGCCTCCCCCAAAGAATGCCACAACGACCTGCCCTGAGCCGCTTGCTGATTGATCGTCAGTCCACCTTGTGGGTGGTCTGCCCACCCCGCGTCTTCCGGTACGCGGTCGCTACTCGAGAAATCATCGGCCCCATTGGCCATCTGTTCTGCGAGCAATGTGCCATGCCCATTGCCACTTAAGTTTTGCAGTTCTTAGGGCTATGTCGGTTACTCCTCGGATATCCTCATTACTGATTCGATCTTGCAACGAAACTCCGAGCATAGCCCTTTCCATTGCCTTATGAGGTCCATATTGAGCAACCACGTCTCAATGCCATAAGTCATCACTGGCAACACAGACTTTTGTCATCAATTTGTAGAATTTTAGTTGAAATATACTATTGATTTGAAATATAATGTTCCCTTTTTGTCTTTAAATGAAGAGATAAGAGAGAGAGAAGAGAGAAGAGAGAGAAATAAAGTTTTTCGTGTTTTTATGTTAGAACCAATTAGAAAATTATATTGACAACCCAAAAACAAAAATTGTTTATTACATTTATTGTTAGTTACATGGTGTTGTTGAAAACAGATTACAACTTCATTTTAAAACAATATTAATTTAAAAATATATCAGTAAATCTGTATTCTAATTATAACTGTACACATTCAGAAAAATCTCAATCTTATAAACAAAAAATAAAGAAAAATTTTAAACAAGAAAAATAATGGTGGTCAAACATCGTGGCATTCAATAAACTTTAAAATTATAATATTATTATTATTTGTTTATACTAGAATGGCAAATGAAAAATATAAGAAATGATAATGATAAATTGTCGGACAACTGCACCATTATCTGCTCTTAAATACGGAAACGAAATTAACTAAGAGGGCACTACCCGAAATACAGAACACTCAATCCGAATTTAGAAAACTTCATACAAAAATATTGTTAATAAGAAAATCTAAAAATACAAGTTTAGCAAAACTGAGGCTATTCATGAATTGGTGTAAGTTCCACAGTTGGGCGCTAGTCGCCGCAATAGGAAAAATAAAGCCTGCCGTGATCAATTTATGAAGTGAGTATCAAGGTTATGAAATAACTCGTTGAATTTCAAAACTGTTTTTATTTCATATTGAAATCATTAAATCGTTGATACTCGTTAAGTAAGAAACAGTTAAATTAATAATAATAATAACGCTCACACTCAACATAGCCCCTCACTAGGGACACCCTGTATCGCGGGTGCTATGGACACACACATAGACAACTACAATTAAGCATCTAGTTATTTTAACGTAATAACTTTAATACCCACCCGCTCTAAAACCCTAAAATTATTATTAAACAGAAGCACTCTAAACAAATTTGTTTTACAATAATAATAAAGTAACAAACTAATAAAGAAATAGCAGTTAAGTACAAAGTACACTTTTTTAATCTTTCAGTTAACGTTTTCTTTGACCTAAATATTCAGGCCAAGGTTTGGTAAATTAGTCAGATACATATCAAATTGTTATCGTGACTTTTTGTTAGAGCTGCGAATGAAAATCGGTTTCGGTTTTCACCTAACAAATGAAAGTGGAAAGTTTTGATCGCTTCGGGTCGAAAAGCAACTTTTCGAACGTGGTGACGTAGCTGTGTCAAACAAGTCTAAACTTCATTTAATTTGTTTTTATTAAGTTGTATTTAATAGTAAATAAAATTAAATTAGTCGTACTATCCTATGGTTCTTTTTACATTGCGGTGGAACGGGATGGAACGGAAGCGTCAATTTTGCCTCGCTAGGAGAAGGCGCGAGCGGTTGCCGGAATGCTCGGGTGCTCAGCTTCATCGCGCCACTTCCCGCGGATTCGTCAGGCGTCGCCGATGCAGCTACGGGATTTTCGCGAATGCGCGAGCATTCTCGAGCAAGTGCGGGAATTCTTGCGATTTTTAGCGCGTGTCTAATTTGTAAGTTATACAATTGACCATAAAATACATTACGCTATGTACAATATCGTTACGAAAATTCGCGTCCACTCCGTTCCGCCGCAATATAAATTGAGCCTTATGGTTTGAACAACCGCCTCCCAATTAGAATTTGAAAAATTTTAAATTTACCATAAGCTCTTTGGAAAAGAAAAACATCGTGAGGAAATTTGCACACATTTGCAAAGCATTGACAAAGTCAAAGTCAAAGATTATTTATTCCATAAGTAAAATAAATTTACACTTGAAAACGTCACATTTAAGCTACTGCTCGTTCACTCCGCTAACCTCCCTGAGAAGAACGAGAAACAAGAAACTCTAGAGATTGCTCTTTTCAAATAAACTTAAATGCTATGGAATACACTTTGAATCAAATTTGTGTGGATTCTGGAGCTATGTCGTCTTTCCATACATCTTTATCTAACACGTAGTCTTCAATTTTGTAATATGATTTTTCGATCAAAATATTTTTAATGTAGTTTTTAAACTTAGGAAATGATAAACATAATATATGCTCCGGACTCTTATTGTAAAAACGTATACAGTTCCCCATAAAAGAGTTGTTTACCTTCGTTAAACGAAATCGTGGTACCATGAGTTTGGATTTAGCTCTAAGGTTAATATTATGGATATCTTCTTTCTTATTGAAATTATGTATATTTTTACGGGCATATAAAATATTTGAGTAAATGTACTGTGGTGCCACAGTCATGATACCAGTCTCCTTAAACTTTTCTCTGAGAGAAACCCGAGAGCCTAGACGGTACACAGAACGAATCGGTCGTTTTTGCAATACAAATTTGGTTTGAATATCTGCCGCTTTACCCCACATGAGAATCCCGTAGGACATTATACTATGGAAGTAACTAAAGTAAACTAGTCTAGCAGTACTAACATCGGTAAGCTCACGTATTCTGCGGACTGCGTATGCAGCGGAGCTTAATCTGCTGGCCAGGGAAGATATATGTGGAAACCATTGAAGTTTACTATCTAAGGTCGCTCCCAAGAAGACTGCTTTATTAACAAAGTCTAACTTTTCTCCGTTTATTTCTATGCTTGGACTAGTCGATTTTACGTTAGGTCATTCAAATTTAACACATTTTGTCTTCTTGGCATTAAGCAATAAATTGTTAGCATTAAACCAATAAACTACCTTAGAGAGGGTATCATTAATATGGTCATAGTTAATGTCATGTCTGTCTGTTTTAAAAATCAAGGATGTGTCATCAGCAAACAACACTATTCGCAATGGTCCTTAACAAAGAATGGCAGATCATTAATATAAATCAGGAATAAGAAAGGCCCAAGTATTGAGCCCTGCGGAACACCCATTTTTAACGGAGAACCCAAAGAAGTCACACCATTTATGTCTACTTTCTGAATTCTACCGTTGAGATATGACGAGACAAGTTTCGACGCCTTGCTATTTACACCGTAATGTTGCAGCTTCCTAACAAGAGTAATATGATCAACGCAATCAAATGCCTTTGAGAGGTCACAGAAAACACCAAGCGTTCTGGGACCTTTCCCAAGCATCAAAGATGTGTTTTAGTAACGCTACCCCCGCATCGCTAGTCGATCTACCACTAGTAAACCCGTATTGTTCTCTATGAAAAATATGATTCCTACTGAAATAGGACAGTAATTGAGTTCGCCGTGCCCAGCATTGGCCAATGCCTCCTTTTGCAATGAGAGGGTCTGGTGGTAGTTGCCACGCGGGCCCAATGCCGAATGGGAACTTGAGACAAGTCTTTAAAAGCTTTGCCGATGTCTGCAGGTTTCCTAACAATGTTTTCCTTCTATAGTATACGAATATATTGCTGAATTTAATTAGCTTTTTATTGTTTTTGCTTAGAGTCTAATGCCACAGAATACATAAATAACGAGTCTATGAACCGGAACCCGCCCCTGATCAGAGATGGGCAAGCGCCCGGCTAATAACCCGGCGCTTTGTTAACTACGGGTTTAAATAGAGTTAAAATTCATTAGTGCCCGAAATCGAGGGAAAATCTATTTATAACTAAGTATTTGTTGTAAATCAAGTTTTGTTCAAATTGTGATAATGAAAAAAACAAATTACATGAATATTGCTTTCTCGTCTAGACGATTCGATTTGCCTTTCTATTGAATCGAATCGCTTAAAAATCGCATTGAAATAAATCGATACAAAAAAACGTTAGATCGTATGCAGTTGAATAGATTTTCATAAGAATCGAATGGTAGTGAGCGTCATTAAAACTAAGAATTCAAAGGATTGTAAGGTAGGTATGGTGTGGAGTTGCCTTTTTTGTCTAAAAAGATTTTTTACATCGATATTTGTAATAAATATGGAGTTATACCAAATCCTGTGTACGTCGTTACCGCCCACGGTTTTGGGCAGGAAAGGGTTAAAACCCGGCTCTTTGGGTAAAAGCTCGTGCGGGTTGGTATGGTTTTAATCCACTGCCCATCTGTGCCCCTGATATATCTGCTTCAATACCTTACTCGCATTATTCTTTTTCATACAGAACCGTTTTTATTCGTGTTACTTTTCACTTTTTGTTTTGCACTTTTGGCCTTTTTTAAGGACTTCCTAAATCTGGTTGAGATATTTATGCTGAGTTTGACCTTTCCCCGTGTTTTCAAACGTATTCGCTCCACTTATATTTTATTATAATTGTGCCGGTATTTTACTAACGTCTATGTTTTCGATATGGTTAAACCATAGAAGCAAAAAGCTTTCTCTACAACAACGATTTGTAAATAACTATAACTTTTTTATTAAAAAAAATGA